CGGCGAAGACGAGCAGGAAATTTCGATCGCTGTTTGACGACGCGAAAGTAACCAGTGAGACATGGGGGAGAAGAAGCTTACTCGCGCGAGCGTTGGCGCGCGATATGGGCGGCCGTGCGCGTGAACGCGTAAGAATATAAAAACAAGAAGACCGGATGACTGCTAACTGTTTGTTAGTCTTGGGTTTTAAAGTCCGCGCGTCTGTCAGCCCAGAGACGTAATATTAGTGCTTAGTGTATGCTGCCGCCACCACTCCCGCTCATTCACTCTTCCTCTCTCTCGCTCTTCTGTCACTCCCTCGCATGATTCTCCTTCCTCTTATTTTCCTACGTGTCTTCTCAAACTTCTCGGATCGCTATTATTGTCATTTAATTCATTATTGTATACGTATTAATTAAAATTAATTGAAAATAAAATTAAAATTAACGTTAATATAATCTTGATATAATAAAATGTGATAATATAAATGATCAATTACACCTTAGCTCTTTAAGAAAAAACACAAAATTTAATCATAGATTTGCCGATTGTATAAAAATAAAAATGATACAATTAATTTCCGCTATTATTGTCATTTAATTCATTATTGTATACGTATCAATTAAAATTAATAGAAAATTAAAATTAAAATTAACATCTTGATATAATAAAATGTGATAATATCAATGATCAATTACACCTTAGCTCTTTAAGAAAAAACACAAAATTTAATCATATAGATTTGCCGATTGTATATAAACAAAAATGATAGAATTAATGTCTAACATCAATATGTGGAATAAAGTAATATTTGTTTAATATGTTCATAATAATTTAAGTTAAATTAATACTTATTCTTCTGGCTCTAAAAATTTCTTTTTCTTGTATGGGTATTTTATGTATAAATTCTCAAAGATTGTATGTATATAAAATTTCGTTGTGATAAGAATTATGTTAAGCTTTCAACTTTTTTTTATTAATAATTATGCGACTGCTTGATGATCTAAAATATATTGTATGGTGTTTTTGTATCTCATCTGCATTCGAAGTTTTGTTGATCCAAAAAAATATATATATATACAATATATTGAAATACAATATATTAAAAAACCTATAGAGGTATATTTTACAATTAATTGAATGCTACATAAATGACACATACCGAATTTGATTATTTAATTTTTAAACATAAAGACTTGCGATATCAAATAACAAAATATAGAGATTTTAAACAAGAGATATCTCCCGTTCTTATAGGAAAAATGATTGCGCAACTTTTGGGAAAACGTCCATGAATACGATTCTTGACAATGTAACGTTACATGGCAATTTTGTTATTATTACAATTTCAATATAAAAATATATGTATAAGATAAATAGAGGCAGCCTCTTCGCGTTTGCACGACAAATGAAGAATACCGCGTAATAAGCATTACTCATCGATTCTCACGTTAGCACCTTCTCCGTAAAAAGCGCCTTGATAGCTCGTCCTAGGTGGATCGTTATAAATAGTCGAAATTACTCGGAGGACCCGGGCAAAACGACGGTGTTTTAGCGGGCATTCTGGAAAAATAAACGACCGCGGCCGCGTAGGGAACAGATGACTCGCCACGCGGATGCCAACTCCTCGTTGGAGTGACAGCCGCCGTGGCCGACGATTGTTTTTCAGTTTACGTTAACGTTTCGCTTTCGTTTCGATACGGTCGTTGAACGAGCCACCGCTGGCTCACAAGTCTTTATTGACTGCCGGTTAAATCCGGCCTCGGAAGGAGCCACGTACGGAACTATTGGATTTTATGGGACATCTCCAGCCGCTCTCTCTTCGCGCGACAGGCGACGACGAGCTTGTTTAAAAGGGTAGCGAGACGAACTGTCGAGGCCGCTGACTTTTTGCGCGACGAGAGAAAGAAAGAGAGAGACTGACGGCTGCTGAAGTCGACAGACGGATGCTGCCGAAATCATATCATAAATGACTGACACTTTGGCCCTTAATCGACGTAACTCGTGACATCGTGCTCGATAAAAATCTCATCCGCTCGAGACATTCGTCATCACGCAGTCTCGATATTTCGAGCGATTGCTCACAGCGAAAAAAAAAAAAAATATCCGAGTGGCATAAATTCGAGCGCGAAGAAGATGAAGAGATGTAACAAAGTACAGCGAGGCTGAGTAAAGGACGACGCGAAGGGCGGACGCTGGTCTTATTCGGGGGTAACTGAAATAAGGTATAATTTTCCGCGCCAATTAAGGTCTTTAAGAATTGCGACCAATTGAGCGGGAGGGTCAGAGCCTTAGCTTTAGGGGAGAGACGTACCGCCATCCCCCCTATAATTTATTATTGATTAGATCGAATCGAGAAAAAGAGGTCTTGGTATGTAGACTTAAGATGGTCTACGTTATAACGGAGTGTAACGAGCAAATGGCGAACGTCGATTTTCCAATTTCCGATCCGGATGCTCAAAGCATAATAGCACTTTATGCATAATCTTTTAAAAAGAAGTTTATTGATTACAGGTAATTATTAGTATGTAACTTATATGTTGTCATTAAATTAAAAATCTGCTAAATAATCATATGAATAAAAATAAATATAAATAATTAATATTTTAAATAATTATTGATATATAGGAGATAATCTTGTTAAATATTCTGTTATTTATTTTAAAAAATATAAAAAAATATATTTAGATAATTACACGTTCAAATGTCATAAATATCGTGATGTCTCTTATTATGAATGCTACTGTTTTTCAATTTGATTGAAATAAAAATGTATCAATAGAAGAAATTGAATCTCGTAAAAATGATATATTTTCTACTTATTAATATCTCCAATTATTTTTGTAATTACAGATAATCGACACGCAGCCTTTCGACGACTGAATAAAAATAACATATCTCGCCCGACAACAAGTTGGGAGGTAAAAGTATTCTCTCATCGATATCTCGAACGCGCGGAATCATCATCAGGTCAAGTCAAGCGTAGTCCACGTTCCTGCGGTTCACACTTAATTAAACCGCCATAGGAACTCGGGTGCTAGCACGTGGCGGACAATGCTGCGAGTCTTTAGCGACGATTGTTATGTAAAGCACACCCTATATATGCACCGCGCAGTTTCTCTCGTATCGTATCGAGACGAGAGAACTACATAGGTACCTCTACTACCCCCTTTAAATCTAGAGAAAGAAGGAGAGATAGAGAGAGCGATGTAACTTTTTGAAAGCATTAGCTGCGATTCAACTGGTACAACTTTGATCGCTTTTATCCACTACCGACGTGGCCTCTCGAATCGTAATTCTCATACTTTACAAAAAGAAAACTTTGATGTTCTACTGAAGTGCTATATTTTTTGTACTGAAATTTTTCTATGAAACATTGAAGCTCTATTGGTTGTTATCTTTAATATGTGCTAAAATATTTTAATGCATATATATCAATACATTATAATGAGACATTAAATATTTTAAAATAAAAAGGAGACATTAAATATTTGACATTATGAGAGATTAAATATTTTAAAATAAAAAGGAATATTTTCCGATTCATATTTATGTATGTGTGTGTGTGTGTGTGTGCATGTTTTTAAATATATATGATTGGATATATATTTAAATGTAAATTAAAATATAAAACCTACGTAATTGCCTAAATTATCTACATTATAATTGCATTAATCGAAGTAATATTTAGGTCAGAATTAAATATACATAGATCCCATGCAGTTACAATTAATATTTCAATATTAATCGTGACGTTTAAAAAAAAAGACAAAAATTGGATCAATAGAAAATATATTTAATAACTGAAGAAAAATGATGTAAAAACAAGCAATCAAAAATAGATAATAAATGCATTACAATATATTAATTAAATACGTGAAATTATTATAAGTTTTATAATTTTATTTTACTATAAAAAAGTACTTTAAAAGGATGCACTAAATACATAGAATTTTGGCTTTCGGTCGAATTAGTTGTTTTTTTATATATTGTAATCCTGAACAAAAGATGTAATAACTTCAATGTTAAATATTACATAGTTATTAAGCTACAGACAGTCAAACAACCTCCAAAGTTTTTCGTATGACTGACTCTAGATCAGTAAATGTATATTATTTTAGCATTGAGCCTATTATATTTTTTGTTCAGTAGATCACAAGCTACAACATATGAGAAAATCAGATTATTTCATCAAAATTTAATTTTATGATTAGTACAGGGTTTTTGAACCTATATAAAATCCTAGATGAAATTAAATCCCGGTAAAATCAGCTACTTTTCTCACATGTTGTAACTTATGACTCGCTGAAACAAAAAATGTAATAAGCCCAAAAAGCTGAATAATAAATGATTACTGATTTACAAGCAGTCAAAAATGAAGAATTAGAACTTTGCGAGTTGTTTGACTGGTTGTAACTCAGTAATTGTTCATTATTTATCTTTGCATTACATCTTTTGTTCCGCAAGCTATAACATATAAAAAAAGCCAATTCCACCGAGTTCCAGCGAGTTCCTTTAACAAACTTGAATCTAATTGAAGACAATTATTTCCCCAATATGTGAAAGCACATTTTGTTCCAATATTAGTACAAGTAAACTCGATTGTGCGAAACAGACATCAATTATGAAACTGTCGTCGCATATGACGACCGTGAGTGATTGCTTCGTCGCAAGAACTTAAGGAGCCTTTTATCATTCCTCGCTGACACGGATGACAAAACGAGAAAATGTCTAAAGTGCCCGTACGGTTCCGGCGGGGTCGCGACGACTATACGATGATCTAAAAATCTCCCGCATTCCCACTCCGTCGCGGAATATTTCCCGGTTCGCGCCTCAGTCTGGATTGGCCATCGCGGAAAAGCAGAGTCGAGGGAAAAGCGACGGATTGGTTGTAGGGCGAGGCTTGCGTCGTGACGGAAGCATTACATCCGGTCGCACGTAGGACATCTAAAGCTCCACCTATCTCAGAACTCGTGTGCAAGCTCGGGAGAGCCGAGACCGAGAGGGTGGGCAAACGAGAGAGAAGCACCGTCGAGCACGTTAATGAGAGAAGAGGTGGTGGATCATCTCTTCAATACGTAGCGGGAGATCGATAGATGATGAGTAATATATAATCGGAATTGATTTACGCTGAACTTCGTTTTCCCCGATAAAGGAAGATAAAACTGAACTTCGAGATCATCTGTGTGAAACTAGAGAGGTTTTCGTAAAATAGAAAAAGTGGGACCAGAAAGAGAAGGGCAAAGAACAGCAAGCGTCTCTTAGGTGGGGGTTGATCTGGCAAAAGAGGGAGGCTCTCTCTTTACGAGGGAGGAAGGGAGAGTCGCGAGTTGAGTGTGGTAATTCGAAAAATAAGTCTCCGCGGGCGACAAGCACACTTGACCGAAGCACACTCGAATCGAAAGGGTCGAGCACTCGGGAATAACAATTAATAACGCCAGTCGGCCTACCAGCGATCCTCTCTGGCTGCTCGAAGAGTCTTCAGGGATTATGTGAACGCGGAAGACATCTTCTAGCATTCGTCGGCTGATTCTCCGCTCCGACGTGTCGACGACGCTATTGAACGAGCGAGTGACTGAGAAAATTCGACTTCTGTAGGTTCGTAAAAGGTGATCGAGAACTAAAAGAATTGTAGAAGGAAACAGGATAGTGGAATTTGGTGACGATTCGTATAACATGTGACGCGACAAGCTTTCTCATGTGTGCATACAATTGATGATGGTTGTAATGATGAAGAAAAAAGTTGAAAACATTTGAAAGTGAGACGACTGAGAGTGTACAAAGAATCCTTTTTTTTTCCTAGCTAGACTTTTTTATTGCAATTATTGCGAGATCCGCGAGAAAGCTCATCGAAATCGGAGTGATGGAGGACGATAAGCGTAGCGAAGCTTCGCCGAAACCTTCTCAACCGACTCCCTTCAGCATCGCGGACATTCTAAGTCGAAGAACTACGGATTCGAGACGATGCGATTTAGAGAAAATCCAGGCCGTTGTTTCCGCGCCGATGAGAAGACACAATCGGGATTACGAGCGCGTAGCGGAGAACGAGCAGCTTGACGGAAATTACGATCACGATCAGATGATTCATTATCCGAGATTACCAACCCCGGAGCTGAGTATGGCGCACGAACTGGATATCCTGAGAAGGAATCTGGCGCAAGCAAATTTATCAAATTTTGGAAGCATCCCGCATTTAACCCAGGGAACTTTCAAGCATCACCTCGAGACTCTGGAAAATCTAACGGCATATCAGCCTGTTAAAGAACCGATGGAGACTTCTCACAGACAGCAGGACGAAGCGTTGGATATGAGTAAAAACAAGTATTTAGGTACGTGATATCGTTCGCGTGAGTTAATCATTTAATTTTCATTGCGCGAGAAATTTTATTCGATAATAAAGAGCGTATTGTATCACGAATGTTCTATCATTAAAAATTATGCCAAAGTAGCATCAAGATTTATTCTCGTACATCAATTTAACAATATTGAATTTTATCAAATAATAATCTTGTAATAAATATCACAATTCAATAAGCAACTTTATTATGCAAACTATATCGCACTTTCTTCAAAATATTATTCAGAATGCTGATGATATATATAACTTTTAAAAAGCTTATAAAAAGCTCATCCAAAATTTTACTTTAATCTTATTTTTGTCAAATTTTCATTATTAATAATAATTGATTATTGTAATCTATAAGTCTTACAATATATTTTTAACAATGATCAATCGATTACAATTATCAATGAATATTAAAAAAATTGAAAAAAAATAAAAGAAAATAAAAGAAAATTAAAGTAAAATCTTTTCGGAAGAGATGAAATAATACATGCTTAATATTTGGCGCGAATAAAAACATCTTTCTGAAATTCTGGAAGATGGTGACTTGCCGGATGATCTTACGTCGGGCACGAGGATGCGGGCTTAAGAGGTCATTTAAGCAGATACGCGCGTAACAGGCGAGCTTCTTCAAGGGTTTTTAAAGTTAACCCGAGCGAAGATAACATAATTGAATGTAATTTTAGTAGCATAAGTGGCACTCGACTCGGCAGACGTCACGAGTGCCGATTACTTCTTGCACTTGTTCAATCTCTGGCCGCACTCGGTTCCCCTGTCTCGAAAGCACGCAAGGATTCGTGGATTACCTCAAAAACTGTTTTAGATCAAGGTTACGATCGCTAACTATTTCCGAGTAAACATTCGCAATTGATTTATTTGCTATGGATGTAACGCTACGTAATATATACAGAATAGCAATAATTTTTATCATTAACTATTTACGTTAAATCTGCGATGTGTGATATATGTTGCACATAGAATTGCACTGATGATATTTCCCACTTAATAAATTAAATTTTATACCAATTCATGTCACAGCATATAGCGAAATTTCTTAGTTAATCTTTGCATTCCCCTATATCCACTTTTTCGTAATATATATTCGCCCTCGTTATTGCGATACGAAGGGTAGGTATTGAATTACATGGCCGAATAGTGTTATCTTAATATAAAGGTAAACAGAGATATTTTCTCTCACACTGCATGCTCGAGAAATCAATCATGATTAACAGCGTTCGTGGTGAAATATACACATGATTTTTATTTTATCCTTAAATCGTTAAATATAATAAGAAAAGAATTTTTATATTAAATACGACACTATAATTTGTCACGAACTATAAATTTTGATTAATTTTTTCATTTCAGATTTAGCAAGTGTTACAATTATTCGATATATTTTTAAATAATTGCGCTCTTAGAATTATGTCCATGTATTATACAAATAAAAAATCAATTTCAAATAATTTAAAAAATTCGTAAAGCATGTAAAATCTAATAAAATATGTAATCTAATAAAACTTAGTATAATTAAAAAAAAATAAAAATAAAAAATTCTTTATAAAAAAATACGTAACTATATAAGATTTTATTTAAAAAATCGGATAAGGATAGCTCCATAAAAAAAAATACGATAATTAACTTTACGAAGACACGGTGTACCGCCTCCTCTTAAATGAAGAATCGTCACTTGAGCACGAGCCACGGAAGTATATTGTTTGCAGCGACTCGGGGGTAAAGAGATAGGCACGAGCTGGCACCGATTCAAGGTGCACTCAGAAAATTACGACTCTACTTCCACGAAGGAAAAATCTCTCCAGTCATTTAATATAATAATGAACATATAAATCGAAAGAATATCGATAACGTCGCGAATAGATGACTCTTAATTCTTCATTGCGGTAATGAAATAATAATTGAAAAAATGGTTTTCAATATCGCCCCCGTCGCGTCGTAAGCTAAGACAGGTAGGGACCGAAAAGCGTTTTAGTGGTTTCAAAGGATCATCGATGTAATCAGAGTCAGTCGACGCCACTTGCTCGTCTGGAACTAAACTCTCGATATAGACGCGGTGTAGGATGTTTGACGAGCGCCGAAGGATGGACGCATTAGCCGGACGAGATGGCATCTAGTTGACGTCGAAAGTGATCAAATATAGATCTCTCTAAATGCTCCGCATCCCCTGCGAACCGCCGACGATAAACATTGACGTAGGATGAGCGTTTTAAGCGCGAAATAATTATAATACCATCGGAGAACTTCGCGATTAAAAACTCGCGAAAATATATTGATCTGAAAAATCTTATTCATTTTTCTTTTTCCCCTCTGTATATTTATTTGAAAATTATCAGAGTGATAAGTTTAATTATATTTTTCTTTAAAATTTGATAAATACATTAAAAAGGATTTTTTCACTTTTTTAAATATGATATCTCACTGACAAATCGTTATGATACTAAAGAATTTATTTCTATATTTCAAAGGTGCGATATATTTTTAAATATTAAAATATATAAGAAATCTGTATTAAATAATTTTAATTTGACCATCTCTACGATATATTTTGAAAGGATGTCCGCGGTCAAAATTGTAATGTTACACAAAAAAAAATTATATAAAAATACAATACAAAGATATTTCAAAAGATATCTCGATAATTTATAAAAAGTAATAAAGTGCGAATTAATTTTGTAGCCGTCAATGATGAAATTTGTTCATTCTGTTGATTAAAAAAGTATATGCTATTTGCTTATAATAATATATATTTGTATTGCAAAGTAGTGGACCAAGCGCATTGCCAAGTAGAAGAAGTTAGCCCGATCTGCTGAGCATGATTGTACTCTAGTGCCACTGGTTAAACTTAGAGGAGAATTACCGCGGAACAGAAGCGTAAACATGTCGGAGTAGCGAGTACATGTGTTAATGTTTGTTCGAGACATCAAAAGCAACGAAGCTCTCTCTTTCTCTCTCCGATCGTTCGCCGTCTCTATGGCCGCTCGCTGATGGTTACTCCGACTTTCGGGCTAAACGATTGCTTTACGGTATAGTTGCAGATTCTCGCGTGAATCTAAATATTTATCCGCAAACGAATTTGAGCTCGGCAAGCTCGCGTTATTCGAAAAATGAGATTCCATGGTCGTTGATATGTAAAAGCTTGCAAAAGCTGCTCTTCTTTTAATATATACCATGATAATTTAAAATATAAATGGAATATGTTTAATGAAAGTAGAATGTCGTGAAAATAAAAGTTTTACTTTTTATAAGTATCTATTAATTTAAGTTGCAGCATGCAAAAGGAGTTGCTTGATTTTATTTCTGAAATAAACTTATTCGTCCATATCTTACAGATGAAGTGGAAGACGATGCGTATGAAACGCAAAATTCGGGGCAAAGTTTGCAGAACAGAAAAAAACGCAGCAGAGCGGCATTCTCGCATGCACAAGTCTACGAATTAGAGAGAAGATTTGCCGCTCAAAAATATTTGTCGGGTCCTGAAAGAGCAGATCTGGCACGCGGCTTGAAATTGACGGAGACGCAAGTCAAGATTTGGTTTCAAAATCGAAGGTTTCAAAATATATAATAATTAATTTTAAATTTAATATAAAAATTTTGTAATTTCAGGGTGTCTAGTAGACTCAATGAAAAAAATTCCCTGACTTTTTCTAATTTTTCCAAGACCAGAAATTAATTTTTTCCCTGACTTTTTAGTATCATTTTTTCCAAATATATAATTTGCAGATGTCTATATGATAAATGAATTAAATGTTAAATCATGAAATCCTTGAGATATTTTTGTCAACAATAAAAAGGTTCGGAAGTTAAAAAAAAAAATAAAAATTTAAATCAATTATACAATCTGCATTATGTACGATAATCGAAACCAACACGACACTATATAAACTATTTAAATAATCACCTTTTTTATTTATATTATATCAAATTTTTTAGTTTTGTCTCTATCGAACACATTGAAATAAAATAACACGACAACGAAAATATAAATTAATGTAAAGCGAACACTGAAGATGAATCGACAACACAGTAAATTAGCGTGCTGGAAGTCAAGAAAGTTTATATTTATTTAATAAAAAATTTCAAATTATTGAGACAAATGTAGAATGTGAAAAAAATCAAGATATTTATAAAATTATTTATAAAATTCCCTGACAATGCCCGGTTTTCCAGATTTCCCTGACCGCTAGACACCCTGAATTTTTTTCGGAAATAGAATCGGAATTTGACACTATTATACGGATTACCGTTTCGAATTTCATTAAACACAGAAAATTTTCTCTTAAAATTTACCATGAAAATCATGGTAATCATGGGACAATATGGTATTGGAAGAATTTTATAAGAGTTTTATCGATTAATATTTATCACAATAAAAATATGAATATCTACCACAATAAGATATAAAATATACTCGATTAATTTTACTATGTACCTATTAATATTTTTTGTGATAAACATTAATCCTATAAAAGTCTTCCAACACGATATAATCCTACGATTACAGTGATTTTCAGGGTAAATTCTAAAAGAAAACTCCGTGTATCCTTACTAATTTTCACTTCAGATACAAGACCAAACGGCGCCAACAGCAGGAATTAGGTGCCCTCGTAAATTCTGGGAGCGCCAGGCGCGTGGCTGTACGCGTCCTGGTACATCCGGACGAGCATTTGAGGGGATTGCCTCTTCGTGGTTCCGGACAACTTCCCGGCCAAATGTCGAGCCCGCAAATTCACCCAGCGAACAAAGCGCTCGGCGGTTTCCCATATTACTGTCTCCCGTATCATCCGCTGCTTTGTCCGCCCCTGCACGCCACCCACGTTCAGGTACAAAGCCCGATCGCGCCCGATTTCGATCCGAGTCAAATCTCGAAAATCAAGAACGAGAAATGAACGATAGATTGCTCGCGAAATGTCGACTGTTGTTTCATATCGACACGAAGATGATGGTCACTTTCAAGTGAATCATGTAAAATACTATCATTTAGAATAATTATATTTTGTGTTAGATAAATGTATTGCGAAATGTCGTGGGAGAAGACTTTTAAAATCTATTGACTTTGCCTGAATAATAAAAAAAAAAATAAATAAATTGAACGAGACTTGAAACAACAGCATGCTCAATCCACCCGCAAAAATCGCAAATACAATTTTTGGATATTTATTTATTAAATTATGAGACTTTTCATGAAAGTGTGTTTTTCATCTTTTTTAGAATATCAAATCAAAGGATGTTCGAAGTATGACTACACCTATACTAAATGTTACTAACAATTTATGATATTTTTCAGTAGCTTATCTATAAAACGTTCTTAACATTGTACTAAGCCTTTCAATTATATTTCGATGTATGAAGCACTTCATACGAAAAGTCTGTTTCTTAGAATCATAATAATATGCATAATAATTGGACTTACTACTCATCTTATAGAGCTGTCTGAAATTATCATATATTTATTGTAATTCAATGACGATATAAAAATGATGTAAATTAGTCTGTAAATAAATGTATAATAAAATGCGAATAATTGGGTTTCCTCTATTTTCTTTGTTATCTAGGATATATCATATACTTTATTAAATTTGAAAAATAGGAAAGAGTTAAAGAATTAAATTTTTACAATGCGCTAATACTCTGCTCTATATTGACTTCTTCATGTATGTTTTTTAACTTTAATCATATCTTCATATCTCGAAACAGAAATGATATTGTATTGTAATAATGCTAAACTATATTTAGCTTTTTAATTGGAAGAAGATTAACTGACATATAAATTGCGATGCATGATTCTTAAGTAAAATTAGAAAATGTGTTCTTCGAATTAGTACTATAAAACATGTGCAATTACTAGTGAACTATGTGCAATGTAAAAAGTATGAATTAAATTTAATACTAACTGAATTTGTTTAACATGCATCACGAGTGTACTATGTTCAAATTCGATTTATTATTTAAGTACATTCGGATGATCGCGTAAATGTTTTCAAATATATGTATATCACCCAGAATTTGTGTATATATTATAAATTATATGTGTACGTTTTCTTCTAATTTTTCCTTTTTTCCCCCGATTCCTTTTAATTTCGAAAAAAAACATTGCAGGTGAAAAATGCATTTTCTCGTCGGTATTGCAACTGACTTTCTCATAAGGGTTTTAATGGTTGCATCTGGGTGGGCCCAGCAGACATCAGATATGTTTATTCAGACACGGAGATGAGCAAGCTTAACCGACGGATGAGAAAAAATCTAGATCTGACACTCATCTGTTGTAAACAAAAATGTTACATTCTCTTCGCCGAAATGCCTTTTACATTCCGCCGTGTAAATCCTTATATGAGGCGATCTTTAAGTTGTTAAGAAGATAATTAGCAGTTTTTAATTTATTTGTTTACATTTTTTTCAAGTTTTAATTGCATGTATATAGCACTATTTTTTTATGAGAGTTATATATAGAATATTTCATAAATTATTGCAATACTATTCTTTTACGACATTAATTTACGATGTAAATTATTTCGAGAAAAATAAAAAAAAACATAATATATTTAAATAATAATTTAGCTTGAAATGTTTTAGATATTTGATTAAATAATTTATATAAAAAAGAAATTATGAAGTAAATACATTTTGTACAAAAATATACAAAAATTCTCAGATGTGTGTGTAGAAAAATCGTCCATTCATTTATTTCGTAATTCGTATTTTTGGTGTTTCTGAGTATCAACAAACTACAGTGGTCAACATAATTTTCGTGACGCAAGCCACAAATTATTACGAGTTTCGGCACTAATAGCGACTGTACATCGACACAAGGCCTCGTTTAGCACAAGAGCAATATGGCTTTACAATGTTTAGAACTGTTATAAACGAAGCAATAATGGACTGCAGAAGCGACTATAAAGTCTACAGCCACCGATTTTCCATCGCGCACATTTAAACTACCAACACATTACGAATAGAAGTCGCCGTATTAATTGCTGTAATCAAAATTTGTATCGCATCAACAGTGCGACATAAATAAGTAAAAAAATTTCATACTTCAATAATACTATAAGTCTGCGTATTTTATAACATAATCGTTATAAATATAAAACTAATACACGTTATTGATAAAACACGCTAACTTAAGTAGATCTATCAATCAATCAATCAATTAGCATAATGTAAAATAAAAATTTTTAATTCTCAGTTATTTTTTTTTTATAAACTGTATTATTATTAAAATCACGTCGTTATTAATCGGCAACGTTTTGTCGCCGGAATTTTTCTAAAAAGATGTCAAAGTCTAAATTAAGAATATATGGATGTAACAAACCATTTTCAACCCTTGACTCAGGAATTTGCTACCGACAGTAACAAGCTCGCAATTTGAAGCGAGAGTACGTTAGTTCGAGTGCATCACTGACGGACTAGTCTCGTAAAACGAGAAAGGAACGATTTAACGCTCAATCAACCGACGAAAGCTAATTTTCATTAGCTGTTAATAGCACAAGACCACCCTCTCCCTTGATCATCCACTACGGCGCTACGCCTTATCCCCTCGTTACACCATTTCTCTACAAGCGCACCTCTTTCGTTTGTTACTAGAAAGCTTCGTGTTAAATGAATGAAAGATAAACTGGGAAAGTTAATGTAGAATCTATTTTGCAGATATTCCAAATAAATTATTTCAGATAAAAATTCACAATTTTTTCCCTAATGCATTTTATTATAAAAATACTATTATATAATATCTAAATCTAAATTTTTCTTAGATATTTTATTTATACACAAATTTTCGTAAGGAAAATACTATTAAAATTTTATATTTGATATGTAATAATATAAAATATTGTGCTCTATTATCTCATGTGATTATGAAATTTTTATATCATTTCCCATAAATAAATTCTTCACATTTGTGTTAATATCTACAAAAATTGTTATTTTTAATTTATTATTTATCTAAAAAATTCATCTCAGTAATTATTATAATTAAAAAATATAATTAGATAAAAAATTATAATTAAATATCAAGCTTTAAAAAAAAGAATATATTCATACCTTTAATATATATTTGATTAAATATCCATTGTTTAATGAATTCGCAGACAAGTAGAGGTAACGAAAATCATATTTATCGCAAAAATCATTCAAGCGGGATCAATTTGAATTTCATGTAAAAAATTGTACAAAGAGGAATTTAATCGCTCGGGGCTGCATAACGGCCATTATCAATTTTGCACGAACCATTTGCGTGCAGGGTAAAAAAATCCTGATTTTTTTCAAGCGCCTGCAGTGTCTCTTACAATAAATGTAAAATGAGCGAGGCAAATTTAAAAGTATAATTAAAGCATTTTTTAAAAGTAAAGTATATATGTAATATTTCATTGATTGAGTTAAACATTTTTTTTAATTGTAAATCAACTGCAAAAATAATTGAAAATGTGCAGTCAATATACAATTAAGATGTTAAAGAACAGAATAGAAAAAATGTAATAAGTTCTTCTTCTTTATGAGTAAAACAAACGCGTGAATCTGATTTTGCCGTCCTTTCCAAGTAATATAAATGGAATTACTGGTTCCAAGTTTGAGATTTCAGTTACTTTCGTCTTTGTCGTCACTTTTTCCTACCTCTCTTATGTACCATTCTTCCGACTTCTGACACGCGTTTCAATTGGGATGGTTGCCAAGGAAACCTAGGAACCGGAGTGTCATATGGACTATTGAAAACGTTAAAGGGGACACCTCTCCATTTCGCGAAAACATTTGAAATGCTACGTCAGGGACAAGTATAGGATTTGTAAGTATAAGATAAATTTTTAAGTATTTTAATTATTTATTAGATAAATTATATTTTTTGATTATCAACTGTATGGGATAAATAATTTATTACTAATGTAAAACTAACGCTCATTCTAAAATTATTGAAAAAATTGTATTTTATTTTATAATTTCATAAGAAAAATTAAAAACTTACAAAAATTTTAAAGCAATCCTGGATTTTATCTAACGCTTTTTAAAATGTAAAAATATTTTTTCAATGTTATAGAAAAGAAATTTTAATGAAAAATAATATAATATAGTACATTAATAATTATCCAAGCTTTGAATATCTATTATATCTGACGAAAAATAAGACTTGTAGTGTAAACTTTTCACTTTACAAACGTTACGCATTTTTACGTGTGAAAATATTTCTTCTTCTCAAAATTAATGCCCGCTCTGCTTTGAATTTAAGGAAGAAGGAAGAAAATCAGCCCGAGTGCATCGCGGATCATCAAGCGGGTAACGACGCTTGAAGTCTACCAAGAAGAACTTGCCGAACGAACTACGGAGGGAACCGTTTCCTCCGCTTTTCCGGTATTTCAAAGAAGCAATTTAGCGATTTTTCGTGGCGAAGCGCCGTCGAGGAAAATTGGCGTACGCGCGGCCAATCAGCGGTGTTTCATGCAGCCGCCACGACTCAAAGAAATTCTTTCGAATATTTCTTATATTTACCAACTAGGAGGACTGAGGATAGACGTCAATAGCACCAGCATATATTTCGAGCTTCTTCGTATTTTGAAATAAAAAATATTATTTGTCAGTTTTTTAGCAAGATAAGTTATGCATTTAATATTAAAAATTTAATTTGATAGTACATATAATAGAGAGAGAGAACAGCTAATACATTTTAACAAAATCTCTTAGAATGTATAATAAAACAGTAGTATAAAGCATTACATTGTTTGTGCGAGTGCAAAATTGATGAAGTGAGAATTTTGCCATTAATATAACAATGAGAATCTTTTTTTAAATTAATAAAAATTTTTTCTATATAGAGTGCAGGACATGTCAATAAAATGCATCAATTAAATGACTGTTTCATATGCTGGTAAGTTAGATATTTGAGCTTAAATTCTCCCGAGAGAAGTAGTTTCATCCCTTGATCTCTCAATATACTGATGCAAGCAACACACGGTTATAACTTGACACACGTTGATAAAGCAGAGTAAAGGTTTCGATATTTAAATCCAATTTTTTACAAAAAAAATGTATATTATTCTTTAGAATATTAATTTAATAAATCTTTTTCTATATGCAAAAATTATTATTAAAATAAAAATTTATAAAGTACATGCATTTTTAAAATATCGTTTCTCAATTATATATTGAGTGATTTTTAAATATAAACATTGTAGCGTAATTAGCAGTTTCAATTAAAATATTACAATTAAAGAAATAATATAAAATAATATATACAAATGATATTTACATTTTTCCTTATATTAAAATCTGAATATTCGACAATCGATAAATTGCAACATTAAAAATGCATCAACGCATAATTCGACTATGAATATTTATATTAATATTTTATCGTAAGAATATTTATATTTTTTATTCTCAAATTTTGTTGAACGTAACAGAAATCTATGTAATTCGTATTGTTATAAAATGTCCGAATAATTAATGATCTCTATTACGGCTCGGAGATTACCGGGAAATATAATTCTAAAAAATGTCACTGTTCCATTATTGAGAATTGAAAGCTAATTGTTTCGTTACGCTGACATCTGACACGGAACAGAAGAGGAGCGTGTCATAATCTCGACAGGGTGGTTTTGCTGTCAGTATCAGCTCTCGGGTAACAGAGTTAAAGCACAAACAAAACAATGCATTTTTCCCTGGGCAACAGGAGGAGTTGATCCTTACGTCCCTTTACGACTGCGCGACTTCGACGAGTCGAAACTAACATAATCCAGACGCGTTTCTAGAGGCGCCCGGAACCCTTGACGCCCGAGGTTGGAATTCGAAAAATCACTGTCTCGAAACTTGAACTCGGGTTCAACGTATGTGTATCTCCTGCGCATCACAGTTTTCATCATTTTTTTAAATTAAAACTGTCAATATATAATAAATACTATTATTTAAATACCATTAAATTTAAAATTAAATATTTATCTCTTTAAAATAAAAATATATTAATTTATTAACTATTGTTCAAGTAAAAATAATATAATAAAAAATTAAAAAAAAAATTTGTGAGTTTTATATGAAAATAATTGATCAACTGCATATGAGAAAAAAGACGAGAGAAAGAGAGAATCATTAGCATACATAAAAAGTTATAAAACATTGTTTTCTCTAGAATCGTCTTGTTAATTGATGCCATTTTATTAATGCGCCCTGTTAGTCATGCATGTAATTATATACAAGCACAAGTGGCGCGTGGACGTTTGGGCTTCATGCGTGGTAGGCGCCAAAAGATAGCAAAGCAGGCGCCTTCTTAACTGTGGGAAAGAAGCGCCGGCGACTGGAGAGTCCTACGAAGACGCCGTGTGAACACCCTTATGAATCTTTTAATTAACTTTCGCTTGGTTTTTGTTCAATCATAGATAACACTATCCCGCAGTAAAATAAACGACAAGTATTTTCGGGAATGCAAAGCTCTCGCGATAAACAAGAAATATTCGTATGCAATGTATTACCATTTTGGGATAATAAAAATATAGTTGCCAATTAATAATTTTCGATTTATTCTGCAATTTCGTACGAAATTTTTATCTCGAGAATTATTTTTATTTTGTTCGATTGTAATGACAGAAATTATTACAAAACTTTGTAGTTATGTTTACAGAATTTGTTAGCAATATGTTATAGAATAACGAAGACATATGTAATCTTTGAAAAATTTGTTGACCAATCAGATTTGAGCTGTAATTACGTTAGTTTAATAAAAATACTGTGAGATATTCATTCAAGTTTATATAAATTAGAAAAATTACTCACAAATTGAGACATTATAGAGTGTCCAGCAGACTGAATGAAAAAAATCCCGACTTTCAGATTTTCCAAGACCAGAAATTAATTTTTCCCTGACTTTTTAGTATTTTTTTCAAATATATAATTTGCATATATCTATATGATAAATCAATTAAATGTTAAAAATCATGCAATCTTTGAGATATTTTTGTCAACAATAAAAAAAACACGCTGTAGATGAATCGATTTTTAACACAGAAAATTAGCGTGCTGGAAGCGAAGGAAAAGTTAATATTTATGAAATAAAAAATGTCAAATTATTGAGACAAATGTAGAATAATGTGAAAAAATCCAGATAAATAATAAAAATCCAGATAGTAAAATTTTCCGACTTTTCCTTGACAATTCCAAATTTATAAAATTCTCTGACAATGCCCGGTTTTCCAGATTTCCCTGACCGCTAGACACCCTGGACATCTAAATTGACAATAATTAAATGATTAGCTATCCAGATTAGATAGAGCTGTGCAGAATCAATACGCTTCGATTGCTCGTATGCTAAACTGAGGTCGTGGAAGATACTCGGCATAATGTGGTATCCAGTTGCAAGGCTGGCTCGTCCGTATTACCGCATAAATGGGCCCTTTGTGCTGTCGCTTTACGTCTAAATAGCCGCATGCGACCTCGAATGCCCTATCCGTGTACAGTTTATAGAAAAATCTCGCACGGTGGCGTGTATTCCGCCCAACTCATGGGGGGTCGTCTGCCGCCCATGGCGAGGCATCTGCATTTTCAAAATCTGCTCTTTCTCGTCGCTAATCGATTATTATTGCTACATATTATCAGATAATATAAAACGAGTTGGGAAGAGAGGAGATTCTACAAAAACCTATATGTGGATTCAACGAAATAATCATAATTTGCACCTTTTTTATATTAATAATTAACATGGTAGCAAAGAGGCTATCAGATTATTTTGAGATAATTGACATCAATTTTTAGAGTTTGCAAAAGAATAGAAAGATTATAAAAATTATAATTGATTTCTCAGTTTAAAAATTAAATTTTCCATGACAAAAAGAGTCAGTTAATTACTTACAATGATGATTTAGAAAAATTGTTGTATTAAAGTTGTCAGTATGTGACAACACAAACTGGAAATCGTCAGAATTAGTCAGACTAGTGAAACTACTCTGTGCCTGTTTTTCCCATCATAGTAAAACTCCATCAAAGTTAAATATTGGTATATTGCAATAATATAAAAAAGCATGAATCTCTGTATTAATTTAAACATTTAATAAACATTTGTACGTTTAAAAGAAAGAATATTATCAATCTATTGTTTACATCTCTCATAAATTATTCTTTTACCTTCAATTAAAAATTGAACATTACTGAACACACCCAGAATGCAATTTTATTTAAAAATTAATATTATTATGGCATACTGTATGTAAAAAAATATATTTTAACGACAATGAGAAACTGGAAGACTTGTTAGCAGCAACACGTAATAAAATTAAGTGACATTTCTCTCAATTGTACATGTTTTCGAACATGCATATCAGAACTCGCCGAACTGCAGATGAAGATGCTTTCTATTATATTTGAAGAGGTCAGCTACTATGCATTCGAATGCATCGAGAGACTTTTGTCGTTTTCTCCTGAGTGGTCTAGACAATTGCGTGTATCTGGAAGTCTAGACGACGCGTCGTTTCACATTTTCTGTTCCGGCAGAAATTGCATTTGAGTCTTTTTCCGCTACTTTTAAGTGCAACGATCGCCGACGGAAAACTATGCTTTCGCAAAATATAAATTTTTTTCTTCATTTTTTCCCGAATAATTTGTCAAGATCTTTTTTGTGATTTATTATTCATACTATGTGGGATATTATACTTAATATATTTCTCTTATCTGATAGTTAATTATAAAATATTTTATTGTACGGTCCATTTCAAGAATATAAAGCAATAATTTGCTACGTTGAGATTCGCAATTTATATTTATTCGCATATCTAATTATAATTTGTTAAAATATTTTATGAACAAATAAAGGAATTAAAAGAAAAAGTGTTATAAAATATATTTTATGATTGATGATTTTTTTCAGTTATTCGCAAAATAATTATGCAAATTGCACTATAGCATAACAAATGACGTACATTATTAATGAAAGTATTTTAATTTTATTTCGGCAACGCTTTGAATCACAATTCAAAAACATGTATAATAACTGAGAGAGATGTGAATTGATTTCACTACGTGTTGCCGCTAGCAAGAAAGGCGGAGGAGAACGAGAGGGAACGTATTACGCAAATAATCATTTAAATATCACTTTTAGAAACATGACTCGCAGCATGTTTTGATTGGTCAGACTCTTTTTGTATAGGCGGGTCTTCGTATTCTCCTCCTTACATTACCAGTGGTTATGGCTGTCATGACGCAAGAAGATATTTTGCTGCCTGCTTGATTATTCATACATTTATGATATCAATAATTAATATACATATAGTAACCCCCATCTCAATTTTTTAGTTGCTTTTTTATGCTACAATTTTTATCGAAATTTTTCAACAGACAAATTTAAATTTATTTAGATGAATTATAGTTAATCTTAAAGATTGAAGTTTTTTTTAAATAAAAAATTATATTTTTTTATGTATAAAAATTAAAGTCTACTCTCTGTAACAAAACTTTATGGAAAGTAATATAATTAATTAAATATCGAAATATCAGCAATAATATAACTTCTTACGTCATTAATTATTAAATTTATAGTATCTAAAATTTACGAGATTTTCTGATATTATACTTTATACTTTTACATTACCTAATTTTTGTACAAAATGTAACGTCCAATTGCAGGACGATTGAAAGACTTTATAATCATTTAGAAGTCATTTAAAAATTATTTTAACATATGTCTTCTAATATACAAAATATATATTTTGTATATTATTATATTTGAGAATAGCTGTATTTAAAATAGCTGCATTTTCTCCAACAAATAATTTTCGTGAAAATGGTGATGCACGGAATTACTATTAAAAAACGCGCGACTGTGGTAGTAAAAATCTTCAATCATACACTGATGTACCCGCACATTCACATCAGCGTATCGCCATGACGTTCCTGTGCGACGGGACCAACACTTGACTCCCTTGCAAGACCAAGTCACATTATACGTCTGCCCTCCGACCCGACCACTCAACCGTGACCATCCCTCGAAATAGGGATAGTTAGCGTATCGATAAATAACTCTTCGTTATAATTTCGCGAGTTTCGCAGATTGCAACGTATCATTGTATTTGGTGATGTGTTTTTTTTTTTGAAACTGAATTTCGAACTGTCACTTTCATTTGAAAGATTTCCTAATTAAATTTGACAGTTTAAAGTGAGCGGACTCTCAAGACTTTTTTGTGTGTGAATTTAAAGAGACGAATTTATAATCAAGCTTGATAATTATTAATTGACGAAGTTTTCAAGAATTCCACGAGAAGAAATATTGATTTGTTCAAGCCTGATTAAATTACTATTTTGAAAATTATCATTAGAATTTAAGTTAATTCATCGAATCAAAATTATATTATGATGCTGCAGCAAGCTGTGCATAGTGAAAATAAAATTTCAATTATCGAGATCTTTTTTTAATTACAAAGATGAGACTCATTTAAGAGAAAGTGCAAAAGAAAAGTAATTATTCAGGATTTACTTGAGAAATTCGATTATAAGTGACTTAAATATCGAGAATGCTTTAGAATGTTGTCTTCTTCAATATCGACTCCGTTTAGCGTTCGTGATATTCTTAGTGAAGAACAACAACTTGGCGTCATGGATTGTTACGCGCATCATCAAAATCAGGCACATGTGGCGCATCAAGATTATTATTCATATAATATTGTACCTGAAAATAATTGGGAAATGGATAAATTTAAAGAGCAATCGATGCCCAACTATCAACATTACTCAGATCTCAATCACGTTCACCAGTTGAGTCAGGTGGTACCACCGTATCAAGAAACTTCTATCACTGAAGATGGTAAGTCCTATTTTTTTTGTTATTAATATTTTATTTAAAATTCAATCATTTCTTATACAGTAGAATTTTTACGGTATAATTATCTATATTATATTAATAATTTTGTGACACGAAATTATAATAAGCTATCTATTGTTCTGTACGCTTTTTCTCAGTAAATTAAATTAATTGTAGCAATATGATAAAAATGACAAATTATAGTAAAGATGTTATATCGATGTTCTTCCTCAAATGAATACATTTTTTTAATATAATGGCAGTACTTGTGTAATTTGTAAGAAATTTATATTGTCAGAAAAAATGATAAGCAAGATTAATTTTTAGATAGAAACAAATAAGTACGATAAACAATTTCAAAATTATTGGTGAGATATATTCTGCTACATTTCTTTCTCAAATATTTAGTAGTTCGGAGAATTTTAATTTTATTAATAAACATTATTGAGTAAAAAAATTTCTAATAAAATAATATTATATAATAAACTATTTTCAGGTAATATTGTTACATCCAGCAAAACAGAACTGCGCAAAAGTCAATCTGGTAAAAGAACGAAACGGAAGCCAAGAGTGTTGTTCTCACAAGTAGGTTAAAAATATTCTATAATCTAATATTTTTGTATTAATAATAATTTATAAATATCTATTAAAATATTCTTCTCAAGTGGATTGTGAATTAATAAGTTTCATAAAAATTTACAAGATTTTAATCTTATAAATTATAAACTTGACATTTTTTGTAAAAAAATTATACAGGAATTTCGCACATAAAATATTAAAAGACACAAAGCGTTAAATGATAAATAACAATCCGCTTCACAGACACAAGTTTATGAATTGGAACAACGATTTAAGCAACAAAGATATTTGAGCGCACCTGAAAGGGAGATGCTAGCCCAAACCTTGAAATTAACTAGCACGCAAGTGAAGATCTGGTTCCAGAATCGACGATACAAGAATAAACGCGCTCGAATCGAGGACGCCGAAAAACTGCAGGCGCAGAACATGAAGAATCAATCACTAAAAAAGATTGCTGTACCCATTCTTATCAAGGATGGCAAACCTAACGTACAGGAGTCTTACAACGGCCCTTACTGGCCAAATATCCGATCGGATTTGAGCGGCCCGATGCAGACAGATTTCAGGACAAACGAGCTTCGTCTCAGTCCCGATTTTAGGTCCAATTCGAACGAGGTGAGAATTGACTCCAGTATTAGTCCGGAGTATAAATCAGAGGTAAATTCAGACATACCTGGAAGATCGAGCCTGAATAATATGGCGGACAGGCACGTTCCAGAATACAGGAATAATTTTGTAACGGATGCTCCACCGGATGTGCACGATTGCAATCGATTAATCAAGACGCAATTTAAAACATGCGCGAACGGGAATGAAACCGCCTCATATTCAGATCTAAAAAATGTTCAATCTGACAATAAACAGCTCGTGACTGACAAGCGGATGCCTATGGATGTGCCCAGCGGCGAATATGGATTCTCGAATTACCTTCCTCCGCCTAATTATCAAATGCAGTACGTGAATTATATGGAGCAAATACCTATGGAGCAAAATCTGCAGCGATTGTGGTAGGTGCCGATTTTGAGAAAAAATTATCTTTACGAGAAAGAATTGTCTGATGTGAGAATTATGAATAATTTATCGCTGTATACTTTCTGCTTTCGAATTTATAGTAATTCAGCTGATAGCAGCTTAGATTTAGTAATTAATTTACGTCGTTATACTTGAATTCTTCTGAATGATACTATAAATTATGCGCTGCTGAAAAATATTTTATATTTTTGCTGACGAATATTTAGATTTTATTTTGATCATGTGTGTGTGAATCCAATTACACTAACATTAATTATTGATTAATTTAAAATTGGTGTGACGATTATTAAGAATCATGATCAATTATAATAATGCATTTTTTATGTTAAATACTTTAGTTCATATCACATAATAAAAATAGATGTTATTTTCATTTTTCACATAGGTTACAAACTTTATAAAACATTTTATTTTAATTAATTAACATTAAATAAAAAAATTTTAAATTGCGAAAAAAATATTCACGAGGAAAAAAAAACAATAACCAAATATACTAAAGTAATTAACCAAAGATGTATTTTTTAATTCTATTATGGATATGTAAGTAATTTAAGTTAAGTTAGAAGTACGTTAACCAAAGAATGAGCTTATGATATTGGCAGCTGTTTTTAGTCGGCTAAGATTTTTCCTTTCGAAATAGTAATAGTAACACACTGTATAAGTGGCGGAAATTGTTTCAAGTGGCCTTTGCGGAAACATCGAGCACTTTTCCGCGGATGTTATAGAAGTTTTTTTTCTCTCTGACTTTCAAGTGCAGACGCAAGTTGCGCAATAAATTAATTTTGTTCGCATATACTTTGCTTAAAAAGACCAGAATGTATGTATATTGTAAACAATTATGAGGAATATTCAATTTTCTATTAAACATCTAATGTGCATAAATATAAGAAGAGCGTTGTGTTTTTCCTACATATACATTCTATATTTAGAATTGTTTTAACTTTCCGTAAAAAATAAAACTTTGTGTTTACAACATATTTAAGGTCTGCAAAAGTAATTTTGATAGAGTAATTAATTCTCCTGTAATTATAATTACATATGATTTTAACAGGTAACAAAAGATACAAAATTGTGCGTATTTAATGATCAATAAAATTCTGAGTCCACCACAAAATTAAATTTAAATTATATATAAGTAAAAAAAATTCATAACCAGACAATATAATTTTAACGTGGTACTAATATGAAATAAGAATGAAAATTGAACAATAAAATGTGTAATTATAAGAAAGTTGCAATTTTTAAACAAGTAAGAATTCGCAAGAAAATTAAATGCATGCGCATTTCTTATGCATCTTTATGAATGCTCTATGTATTTATAATCGATATTGATTTCCATCGAATCAAATCCAATCCACATGCCTCTTGAAAGTTTCGCGATTCGATTTTAACAGGTAACAAGATACAAAATTGTGCGTATTTAATGATCAATAAAATTCTGAGTCCACCACAAAATTAAATTTAAATTATATATAAGTAAAAAAAATTCATTACCAGACAATATAATTTTAACGTGGTACTAATATGAAATAAGAATGAAAATTGAACAATAAAATGTGTAATTATAAGTTGCAATTTTTAAACAAGTAAGAATTCGCAAGAAAATTAAATGCATGCGCATTTCTTATGCATCTTTATGAATGCTCTGTGTATTTATAATCGATATTGATTTCCATCGAATCAAATCCAATCCACATGCCTCTTGAAAGTTTCGCGATTCGATACAAAAATATGGCAAAATGGCATTTATAAATAGGTGAGTTCTGACAGCTTGAGCGAAACCATGGGCGCCTTTTGGGTTATCACGCGAACACGATGGGTCATCTGGCAGTCAAGTGCTGCCTACATAAACGATTTACATCAGTGTAATCGTGCCCATGGTGCTACTGGTGCCATAAAGGGCCATGGGAACAAGCTGATAAAAATGTCACTATTAATTTTATAAGGTTCATGTGGCTATATCGTATCTAAAATAAAGAGCAACTTGCTCTCGTTCTAAATGTGCACCTGACCACACCTGCAAGAAGTTTCAATCTGACAGGCTAGATAGATCAATACAATCGATTCATTGCTGCATGTATAGTTAGTATAAAAAAATAAATATTTGTATATATGTAGTATAAAAGAGATTTTAATAAAAAAAATACATTTATTGTTAATGAGTTACGTAACTTTGACGATAGATTTAGAATTCGAATTTTTAGTTGCTAAAATTGATATTCTTTCAATGTTGTTTTTCACATTTAAAACGTACGTTAATGCATCACTCCACATGCACCATATATCTATGTTCTCTAATCATTATAGTTCCATTACGATATCATGTATTCAGATAATCAATCATAAAACGCTCAACATAGAAATTCGATCTTATTTGCTTGTAAGCCAAAGGGGAACCGCGATGAACGTTTACGCGAGGTCCCGAAAAAGGAAGCACGCGATGGTGTGCAAATAGACGAGCATATGCATAAACAGTTAATGTCTACAAATCAAATCGATTTTAGTTAAAGATGAGGACCCTTTTCTACGTGTGTCCCCAAGAGGCTAATGTGAGAATTAAAAAATTGCTAATTTTCGTGAATTATATGCATCTTCTTTCATTCTTATGTACAAGTTAGTTTGTTTATTTTTTATTTAATATCTCAGAATTATTTATTGGGATTTATTAATTCACATATTATTATTTATGTGAACTTAGCATTCTATTTTATATAAATTAAATTTTTAATCTAGAAAATTATAATATTTCATAATTGTTGATGAATATGACGCTAAACTATAATTAAAGCCCAAGCGAAGAAATTTGCAGCGCCGAGAGTTTGATTTAAAAAGTTGTCTATAGTAAATTTTTCTTATAGTTGTCCCTCCCTCCAAGATATAGACACCCAATTATAATTTTGATAATGAGAAAAATCTAAGTAAAGCTATTTACTGTAAAGATCCTTTACGAAGAATGAGAGTATCTTATTTTTTCTAGATGAATAAACTTAATTGCTCATATATTATATGCGTTTTATCTTTATTTTATTATACTTCTTGTAACATTTTTAAACACAATAAAAATTTATTTTTTTAAGTATGCAAAAAATCATGAGAGTATTTTTAAATCGCACATTTAAAAAAATCAGTAATTTTATGTAATTTTAATTTTATTGGAGATATTTTTTTAACGTGTAAAGAGTATCTATACAAAAAAAAGGTTTTCTCTCTATTAATTTTAGTTCAGAGAAAATTAATTAAAATTTGCATTAACATTTACATGTGTATATTATAATTTTTTTACATCTACTAAAAGCTTTTTAAAATGGTCCATGATTAGTGATACGAAAAAATACATGTATGCTGTCAGTAAAATATTAATAATAAAAATGCTGAGATAATTTCATAAAATTTTTAAGATTAACGCTTTATTACTAGTATATTGTAAATTTAAATATAAAATCCATGTTGTAAATAAAATCAGTATTATATAGAAATAAGAACTAAATTCTTTTGTGCACATGGATTTCTAATATATAGATCAATGTTTCGAATGTAAAAAAAACTTATAAATACTGTCAAAATTTGTTAATAAAATTTTTTAACAATATTATATACATACATATGTATATTTGTTCTCTTCGAACAAAATCTCTACAGTAGATATGTTCTTTCACAACACTTTCTATATTACCAATCTCAGATATTAGTCAAAAGACAGTTGGTAAATTAAATTGGAAATATATATTATTTCTTCATTATGTTTGCGACTTAATTATATTTTTAAAATATTTTTTAAAACTCCGATAAATTATGCTTATAAAAAAAAGGAGATCATTGAACATGTATATCATTTGCTCAGACAAAAAACTAGTACCTATATCTTGGCACCTATATACTACTCAACTGCCAAAATAACTAGGGGCTGTCAACTAGATGGCACCTATAATACATGGCTTTCAACTGATATTTTGCTGCATGTATTTCGGGTGTGTCTTCGGGTCAATTATTTTTGAATCTGCGTGCAATTATTTATTAAAAAAATAATTTGTTAAATATTTAATAAATAGTTATTTTCAAATTTTAAAATAACTGATAAAAATATTCTATTTACATTAATTAATAATTTTCCTGAATCATTTATCACTATGCAATAATAATTAAATAATGACTCAATCTATAATTAAAAGTTTTTTTAACAGAATATTATTAATAATATTCTTCCAATTAAAAGAAAAAAACCTGATTTATATAGAGCCAGTAAAAATTCAACTGAAATTGCTTCAGAAAGAGATATATACAATTAGAGATGATATGATTAAATCCAATGTAACGTCAGGCAAAGAACACACCAAATTATACGCCGTAAAACTTTAATTAAGATTTGCCGAGCTCTCCTTCAACATGCGTAATGACGAGCTCTCGGCGCCGCAAATTTCTCAGCCTGGGCTTTAATTATTCTTTAGTGCCACATTCATCTGCCAACGTGCAGAGAAGGATGGGAGGGATATGAGAAAGAGCGAGGAGAATTTTAATCTGATATCCACCTTTCCTCTTCCTGTCGCGCCGTTCGATCTTTTTTTTGCCGGCAATCTTTCCTGTGTCTATTTTTCGTGATTTATGACCGTCGGAAATACGGTTCCGACTTCTTCTTGCTACGTCAGGGTCGAATGGACGAAATGAGCGGCGAACTAATTTCGTAATATTAGGGGGCCGTAATCGCCGTTGGAAATTCATTAACGTCCGATATATACCTATATACCGCGGTCAATTGAGATATCGACTTTTCTCGAGGTCGCTTTCCGTCAGTCGGTGCATAGGTCGGCCGTTTCTCTTTTCGATAATGCCCGCTTATTGAATTTCTCGAAATCCGAGTTCCTTATTTATGGGACGTACCCTTCCGACGGGATCCGATTTTGTGCCCATATCGCGCGCTCGTTGTTTTAGATTAGCTGCCGGCGGGAGCATATTTCTTCGCTCTGACATTTTGCTGATCGCAGTAATGCAGTCGATTTTCATCAGATTTGTATTGAAAGTTTTTAGTGAGAACGGACAAAATTACAAGATTGATTAGTTACTGTGCTCTGACAATAAGATACAATTTCATATCCATATATATTAATGATACATGGGGAATGTTCTCTTAGAATTTACCTTGAAAATCATGATAATCGTGGGATGATATATGGTATTGAAAGAATCTTATAGGAGT